AATGTATTATTTGTATTTTCATGTCCAATTTGAAAAAACAAAATACTTAAGTCTTAAACCAGCCTAGCCTGATACCAGCCACTTTATCTTATTCAGTGCCATCCAAGTTAATACTAAAGTTTTGTATATTTGATGCATAGTCACTGGTGTCATTTAATTCCAAATAAAAAAAATCTGAAATGGTTCAGCTAAGACTTTAGCCTGACCATCACACAATTTTCATGAAATTTGACAGGATGGGAGAGGACGTGAAGTAACTTACATAGACATGTAAAACTTTAGCACTCGGTGATGCACAATATTTATGAACAAATCCACAAGGGCCGTGATGAGCGATTCAAACCTACATCCGAGAAGATCCCAGACGCCCTTTAACCATGTCCTGGCACAGTCGATTAAAGCGCATCTGTGATCCTCTCAGATGTAGGTTCGAACCCTCATCATGGCCCTTGTGGATTTGTTCATTTGATGCATCACGCTATTGTGATTTGTGTGTGCACAATATTTACACTGCAGGGTTGCCAATTTGAAAAAAATACCAAATGGTAGACAGTGCAAAATTACCCTATTGAAAAGTAGAACTGCAATGGGTATGGTAAGAGATACTCCAGCAACATCAAGGGCCAAGATTTTTCAACACTCTCCCTCTAAAAATAAGGGGTATAACTGGCTGACCTCTCAGTGCTCAAGAAAGAACTTGATAAGCACCTCCAAAGAATATCTGATCAACCAGGCTGTGATTCATACATCAGATATCAGGCCTGGTCAGAGACTGGACTGCAAAGACATTGATCCGCAAAACCATCTCTAGGTAACTGCAAGCTATAACAAACAAAAAAAATCATAATTTTACTTCTAATTGAGGTAGAATCTTCCTATGTGCTTTTTTGAATCTAAGGAAGTATTATTTATTCAATACTTTTATTGAATACAAGTGTAAAAATAGTTTTACACTAAATATTTAATTTTATTCATTCAAAAATTACATGACATGACCTTTTACCTTGAATACATAAAAGTATCTTTGGTTTTGGGGGGAAATATGTTATACATACAGCTAAATGCATTCTTTTTGGTAAAATATTTCATTCTGGGATGACTTTCAGAACAGGAGAAAAAACGAAAAGATAAAATATATATACATATATATACTGTATAATTGTTTTAATGTGAGGACACACTGTATTTTATATCTATACACACACACAAAATATTTATAGTGACTGGAAACAAGTGCCAAAGGAACCCAAAAATCGGTATCTTGCCACTAAAACTGAGTAAGGGTACAACAGAGTATCTCCAAATTAATTTAAAAAAACTACCAATGCATGATGACAACATGCTACCTCGTACATTAATATCAGATCTTAGTGCAGAGTGATTAGTGCACTAGATCTTAGTGCAGAGTGAGGTAGGAACAGCCTACCTGTGACGACGCGCGAGAGACCTGGGTGTAGACGTAACACCTAATCTATCTCCTTTGGCACATATAAATAGGATAACGACAGCAGTGTACTCTACACTGGCAAAAGTTAGAATATCATTCAGAAACCTAAGTAAGGAGGCATTTAGGGCGCTTTACACTGCCTACGTGAGGCCAGTCTTAGAGTATGCCGCCTCATCATGGAGTCCCCCATCTGAAGAAACATATAATGAAACTGGAAAAGGTTCAGAGGTTTGCAACGAGACTCGTCCCAGAGCTACGAGGGATGGGGTATGAGGAGCGCCTGAGGGAACTATGCCTTACGACACTAGAAAGAAGAAGGGAGAAGGGGGACATGATAGGAACGTATAAAATACTCAGAGGGATTGACAGAGTGGACATAGACAAAATGTTCACACGGAATAGTAACAGAACAAGAGGACATGGATGGAAGCTGGAAACTCAGATGAGTCACAGAGATGTTAGGAAGTTTTCTTTTAGCGTGAGAGTAGTGGGAAAATGGAATGCACTTTAGGAACAGGTTGTGGAAGCAAATACTATTCATAATTTTAAAATCAGGCATGATAGGGAAATGGGACAGAAGTCATTGCTGTAAACAACCGATGCTCGAAAGGCGGGATCCAAGAGTCAATGCTTGATCCTGCAGACACAACTAGGTGAGTACAACTAGGTGAGTACACACACACACAAGTGGAAACTGAGTATCCACATGAGCCACAGACGTTAGAAGGAACTTTTTCAGCGCCAGAGTAGTTAACGGATGGAATGCATTAGGCAGTGATGTGGTGGAGGCTGACTCCATACAGTTTCAAATGTAGATATGATAGAGCCCAGTAGGCTCAGGAATCTGTACACCAGTTGATTGACAGTTGAGAGGCAGGTGGTACCAAAGAGCCAAAGCTCAACCCCCGCAAGCACAAATAAGTGAGTACACACACACACACACACGACTGCCAGCCCGGTCTTCGACCCCCCAGGAAACAGCCCGTAGCAGCTGTCTAACTACCAGGTACCTATTTACTGCTAGGTAACAGGAACATCAGGGTGAATGAAACATTTTGCCCATTTGTCTCCGCCTCCACCGGGGATCGAACCTGAGACCTAAGGACTACGAATCCGAAGCGCTGTCCACCCAGTTGTCAGGCGCTCTGGAATGTTCAAAATTCCAGGGCATTCAATTGGAATGTTCAAAATATCTGTCTGGTTAGGATACACCCATGATGGGGATGGGCCAGTGGATGTAGGAAACTAATCAAAACCCTCCTGTGATGTTATATTCACACTCATAACACAACCTAACCACTAGGCATCATTTGGTTTAAGTGGATGAATGGACATAACAAAGGGGATATTAATAGGGTATTAAATGTATCAACACAAGACAAAACAGGAAACAATGGGTATAAATTGGATAAGTTTAGATTTAGGAAAGACTTGGGTAAATACTGGTTCGGTAACAGGGTTGTTGATTTGTGGAACCAATTACCACGAAACGAAGTGGAGGTGGGGTCCCTCAATTGTTTCAAGGCTGGGTTGGACATGTAAATGAGTGGGATTGGGTGGTTATAAATAGGAGCTGCCTCGTATGGGCCAATAGGCCTTCTGCAGTTACCTTTGTTCTTATGTTCTTATCATACATGCAAGTTTCAAAACTTTGTCTTTCTTTTTGAAAGACAATGTTTCATGTGGGAGATTTGCTTGCTGCACTTCACTAGTTATTTCTGTAGAAAACCTAGTTATTATTAATGCATTTTTTGTTCCTGGTATAAAAGTTTGATATGTTTGACTGCCAGGTACTGGTTTAGTTTCTTCTCATTGTCTGTGTAGTAACATTTCATTCTCCATTATTTCTTGTTGACACACATGCAAAGTTCATGTTCTTCCTTCATCAACTTATGGCCTTCCTCACTAACAGAATCCTTTTTAATTTTTTATCTACAGTTGTTATATACCATTTGCTCACTATTCACATGTGACAATTTTTCTATCATCCACGGTAGAATCTTCCTTAATTGTTCACTACTGTTGTTGTCCCTTTTAATATCAACTGGATCACAGTACTTTGTAAGAGGTAATTTATTGGCAATACAGGCTTTAAAAAAAAAAGCTCAGCCTGCCTTGCAAAAACATTGCAAAATACACAAAACCATCATCTACACATCAGTTATTATATAAATTTAGACAATTGCACAGAATTTAATGGTAAATGATAAGCTAGATATGAAACAATTGTAGCTAACTGTACCAAAGAGCTAAATTTAGCTCCAAAAGGAATAATTGGCAACCCTGCTGAGAAGTACATAGGAGGGGACACTATCAGACAAGTCTGCATTTGCCTGATGCATGTTTGGTGCAACAAGTGTTTAACTGATACACATCTACTCTATACTTTATCATTTCTTTTACTCTGGTTCCCAAATAAAAATTGTAACAGAGAGAATGCATTTAACTGTATAACATCCCCCCCCAAAAAAAAAAATATATATATATACTGTTTTGTATATTTAAGGTCAAAGGTCATCATGTGATCTTGAAATTAAAAAATTAAATATTTAATGTAAACATTTTTTTTAAATAACCATGCTTCCTTAGCTTTAAAACAAACAATATTCAACTTCTATCTCGATTAAACAAAACAGATATTTATTTCAGCTTGTAAGGAAAAATGTTGAATATTTTTTCACACTGGCAACCCTGCTGTATCATGCATCACTGCACGCTAAAATTTTCCATATTCAAGTTACTTCATGTTCTGTACCAGCCTACCAAATTTCGCAAACATCCGAGATGGTCGGGTTAGATGATGATTTGGCATGGTCAATGACCAACTATAGATCAGTTCTATATTCCCCTTTTTTCTAATGGTCGATGCCTCTACACCCAAAGTGAGAAACAGGGTAGCGAATGATAACTTATGTGAGAGTGCATAGAGCAAGTCTGTGACAGCAAATAATAGTCGACTACTGCTTATTCACAGCATTTTTTGTGAACAACTACAATTGAAATGTAGGAAAATTAAACTTACTTGAACATTAATATTCTAATGTAACAAATTAAAACAAAATGACCTACTATACTTTAGTGTAACCAATCTTGTATTTTAATTCATCTTATGCAAACTTAAAAGTATATGCATAAAATGTGAAAGTTCATTGATAGAGAAAACAGTCACAAAGGTAGCATGCAAGGCTATACTGGTGGACAAATGTATGTATATAGCAATATCAGTGCATAACAATTAACTTGGTGGTCATAATGATATCATAGGCCAAAATATATATTACATACATAAACACCATGTTGAACTTCCTGACAATGACAGTCATTATCAAAGATGTGAAGCCACTGTCAAACTAACCAAAATGAACAATAAAAACAATCTAGTCAGTGATAAATTAAATTTGATGAACGATCCTACAATTCTTGTATAAAAATTTTGTAATGCCTAGATACAGAAGCAATAGTTGTCAAATCTTTTACCGTGCCTCTCATACTACATATAATCCTTAATGTTAAGCTTGAAAGACCATTTATTAAATTGGAAACATTATAGTACTTGGGGTCGCTAGGCAATTGAGTATATCCTGTGAGGAAGTAGTTTGGTCTTGGGATTTGCGTTATACGCTGCTCCTGCCGCTGTTTGTCTGCTGGTGTTGGTTGGAATGGTGGCCAGACTCTGTGTCATGTCTGGTCTAACATTCCAGGCCACATGGAAATATCTGATAGGAATAATCCCTGGACATGGATGGACCGTTTGCGGAAGTCCCACTTGCCGGGGGACAATGATCTCGGCTCCACCGGTGGCTATGTAGTCGGTGGTGAGAGGAGACGCAAGTGTTGCGACTGGTATAGTGTTGGCGAGGTGTGGCGGCATACCGAGGCCTACCACATGCCGGGTATGGTATAGTTATGGTGGTATTGTTGCGGGGAGGAGGTAGTGGTGGCGGCGGGAGCCGTGTGGCCGCCGGCTGGCTGGCTGGCATGTCAACAACCCGTGACGTCACTCCCACACCACACCCCGGCCCCGCCATGTCATCCCCCCCCCCCACCACCACACACCCACCCTACACCTCCCTCACTCTACACACACGCATTACTTACCTTGGACTAGTACCAACAGTGTGACAAGAGCCACACCAGTGTCTTGCCGTTATGTACTCGCCCACCCATGTGGCCGCTCACGCCACCTTAATAAACATGACTAGGCACCCTCCCGCCTCTAGCAAGGGACTGTTATTTATATTAATTTTATCATATACAACACGATACAGTGCCCAACTACACTTCTCACTCTTTATACACTCACACCTTAATTTACTACTCAATTATGTTAAAGACGAGAGTAAATGTTCTGGTCGATCAGTAAGCTGCTATTATGGCCAAATTAACCTTCCAGGGGTTCATTATGATTTAGTTGAGTTTCCCATTGTTGGCAAACTCCCCCCCCCCCCCACCAAGAGTTACTATTAACTGCTAAGCAAGCAGCGCCATAGTGTGTAAAGAACGTGCCTAAACGTCTCTGACCTTGTGAAAGGACTTGCACTGATCATTGCGCATCAGGTATGAATAACTTGGCAACTTGCCATTACTCACACCTATAAGTATTTGTCTATCTCAAAACCTTGGAAATAGACCATTAGTAAGTCGGCGAAGGTACAACTAAATTACTTTCCCAAATGATATTCAAATTTCAGTTAATAAACTTTAAACGTTCTTAGCGGTTTTTAAACAAACAAATAAATTATCGGTAAATACCATGCATAATGTTTTTCTCTGTACCATAACCACTTAGTTATTTTTACAAATTTTTTATTACTACAGTACCGTACTTGTTAAAATTGAATTCGTTCGTGAAAATGTTAAGTACGGTCTGCTTCTCACCTATACGAACTGAACATTTACTATACAGTGTAATATATATGGGAGGCAATGATTAGAATTGAACCGTGTTATATAATAGTGTGTTAACAAATGTAATACCTTACCCAAGGTACAATATGCTTGCCGTGTGTACATTTTGCACCAGTGAAACTCTGATGAAGTTGAAACTAGGATACCTATACAATTCATGCACCTGAATTATAGGAATACAAGAACAAATGTAACTGCAGAAGGCCTATTGGCCCATACGAGGCAGCTCCTATCTATAACCACCCAATCCCACTCATATACATTTTCCAACCCACGCTTGAAACAATCGAGGGACCCTACCTCCACCACGTTACGCGGTAATTGGTTCCACAAATCAACAACCCTGTTACCGAACCAGTATTTACCCAAGTCTTTCCTAAATCTAAACTTATCCAAGTTATACCCATTGTTTCGCGTTGGTAGTTTCAACACCCTACCAATATCTTCACCAGCGTAACGTGGTGGAGGTGGGGCCCCTCGATTGTTTCAAGCGTGGGTTGGACATGTATATGAGTGGGATTGAGTGGTTATAAATAGAAGCTGCCTTGCATAGGCCAATAGGCCTTCTGCAGTTACCTTTGTTCTTATGTTCTTATGTCCCTTTTTAAGAACAAAGGTAACTGCAGAAGTCCTATTGGCCCATACGAGGCAGCTCCTATTTATAACCACCCAATCCCACTCATATACATGTCCAACCCACGCTTGAAACAATCGAGGGAACCCACCTCCACCACGTTACAAGGTAATTGGTTCCACAAATCAACAACCCTGTTACCGAACCAGTATTTACCCAAGTCTTTCCTAAATCTAAACTTATCCAAATTATACCTATTGTTTCGTGTTCTGTTTTGTGTTGATACTTTTTGCACCATTAATCTCTGTCTCCCCCTTGTTATGCTCATTCATCCACTTGTACACCACTATCATGTAACCCCTAATTCTTCACCTTTCTGGAGAATGTAAAGCTTTGTCAATCTTTCTTCATATGACAGGTTTCTAATTTGGGGGAAAACTTTGTCATCCTAAGCTGTACACGTTCTAGTGAATTTATATCGATTCTATAGTACGGCGACCAAAACTGAACTGCATAATCTAAATAAGAACATAACAATAATGGAAACTGCGGGAGGCCTATTGGCCCATACGAACATAAGAACAAAGGTAACTGCAGAAGGCCTATTGGCCCATACGAGGCAGCTCCTATCTATAACCACCCAATCCCACTCATACACATGTCCAACCCACGCTTGAAACAATCAAGGGACCCCACCTCCACCACGTTACCCGGTAATTGGTTCCACAAATCAACAACTGTGTTACCGAACCAGTATTTACCCAAGTCTTTCCTAAATCTTAACTTATCCAATTTATGCCTATTGCTTCAAGTTCTGTCTTGTGTTAATACTTTTAATACCCTATTAATATCCCCTTTGTTATGTCCATTCATCCACTTGTAAACCTCTATCATGTCACCCCCAACTCTTCGCCTTTCCAGTGAATGCAATTTAAGCTTTGTTAATCTTTCTTCATATGAAAGATTTCTAATTTGGGGAATTAACTTAGTCATCCTACGCTGGACACGTTCGTGTGAATTTATATCCATTCTATAGTACGGCGACCAAAACTGAACTGCATAATCTAAATGGGGCCTAACCAGAGTAAGATATAGCTGAAGAACACCACCAGGTGTCTTGTTACTAACGCTTCGATTAATAAATCCCAGTGTCCTATTTGCCTTATTACGAACATTTATGCATTGATCCTTTGGTTTTAAATTCTTACTAATCATAACTCCCAGATCCCTTTCGCAGTCTGACTTCGCAATCTCAACACCATCTAGCTCGTATTTTGTAACTCTTATCATCATTACCTAGCCTCAGACCTTTACATTTATCAGCATTAAACTGCATCTGCCAATCTTTTGACCATTTCAAAACCCTATTTAGATCAACTTGAAGCTATAGTGAGTCTTCTTCCGTGTTAATTTCCCTACCGATTTTTGTATCAGACAAATTTGCAAATGTTGCTACTCAAACCTGAATCTAAATCATTTATATATATTATAAACAACAGAGGTCCCAATGCAGAGCCTTGAGGCACTCCACTTACAACATTTTCCCACTCTGACTTAACCCCATTTATACTAACTCTGTTTCCTTTGGTATAACCATGCCCTAATCCATCTCAATACCATGAGCCTCTATCATTTTAATCAGTCTTTCATGTGGCACTGTATCAAAAGCTTTGCTAAAGTCAAGGTACACAACATCGCAAACCTTACCACTACCAACTGCCTCAACTATGCTGGAATAAAATGATAACAAATTTGTTGAACATGAATGGCCATTTGTAAAACCATGTTGCAAATCATTTATTAATTTATGTTTTTCAAGATGAAGACGAATTGTATTTGCAATTATCGATTCAAGTAACTTTCCCACAATAGACATTAGGCTAATTGGCCGATAGTTTGACGCAAGTGATCTATCTCCTTTCTTAAAAATTGGTACCACATTAGCAACCTTCCATGACTCTGGCACTCTGCCTGACTCTATTGATTTATTAAATATGGTAGACAGTGACTCACAAAGCTCCTCTTTGCATTCTTTAAGCACCCTGGCAAACACTTCATCCTGCCCTGGGGATTTGTTTGGTTTGAGTTTTACTATTTGTTTAATAACATCCTCCCTGGTAACTGCTAAACTAGTCAACCTGTCCTGTAAGATTTCGATCTTACGAGGATCGTCCAAGCAATGGTGCAAAACAAATTATGGTTCAATAAAAAAGCCTGTTCTCAGGAAAAATGTGATTAGATCAAGACACCAACCCCTCCTCTCTCAGACTACCGGGATAGGTATCAGAATATTTGTGATGGTTTGAAAGCATATTACAGTTCCAATAATTGTCTACATGGAAACAGAGAAAAGAGCTTTTGTTCTAAACAGAGAATATTCTTAAGTTATAACTGTATTGTATTATAAATTGAAGGTTTAAACTATGGAAAGTCTGGTAAACTCGTTTACAGTGAAAAGGCCTGAGGCATATATTTTTTAATGTCAAACTGTAGAAGATACTCGAACAATTTTTGAATTTCATATTTCACATGTTTGAGAATACAGTGGAACCTCGAAGAACGAGTGGCTCTATTAACGAGTTTTTCCAGTAACGAGCAAGCCACTCGCAGCAAATTTGTCTCTATTGACGAGCTCGCCTCTATTAACGAGCAAAACCACATGGTGCTTCCTAGCATCTTGCGGGTTCTCGGACGCCTCCGACGCCAGTGTTGTTGTTGTATCGCACACGACAAGCATCCCTCTGGATTTATTTGAGCTTTTCTTTGGGTTTTTAGTGGTTTTGCGACTACAATTTGTAACACACGATGTCTCCAAAGAAGCTGCTTGCTAAAGATAGTGTTGTCAAGAGGAAGAAAGACACAATTACTGTGGATTTAAAGAAGGAAATTATAGCAAAGCATGAGTGTGGTGTCTGTGTGATCTCACAAGGGAGTATGGCAGGTCCTCATCAACAATTTACACCATTAGTAAGGGAATGAGGAGGTAAGGGAGGATGCTGCCTCTTCCACTGAGATCAGGGAAGTGTTTGGAATGTTTGAAAAGGTGAACGCATTCTTGGAAAAGCTGCCCTGATAAAGCAGTGACAACCCGGTGTGTGAAAATGTTTAATTAATTTATCACTTTGTGATAACACTTTATGAAAGTGTTATCACTTTCGCAGGTATATGTCGCTTGAACGTGGCACACTTTTTTCTCTTGAATGCACCCAAACACCATGCTCAAGCGTCATTTGAGCAAATATTTCTATAAAATCCAATTCTTATCCGACCGACTTGAATTGTATACATGTTTGCCATGAAGTTTCCGTTTTCTTTAATAACCACATTGCCTATTTGAGAAAACGGCATTGTATTGTATCTTCGTGGTAAGACTATTATATTGTTGACACAACGAGTGTAATCAACGTAGTTTTTTATTTGGTGCTGGTCTAACGCATCCTTGTGTGACATTTGAAATGAAATTTGAGTGAAATTCCCAAGAAGAGAGAGCC